TTAGGGCTTGCCTTTTTACTTTTCCTGGTGTGATTCCTAGCAAGTCTCAGGTTTACAGACAGAAGAAGAGAGAGAGCCCTTGAATAGACGCTGTTCTCTTAGAATTCTTGGATCCGAGCTATAAGAGATTGAACTTTCCTCTCCTATGTCTCCATAACTTTCCATGCCCTGTCAAAATCTGCTCAAAGCACATTTCCTCTGTGATGGTCCCATTAGCCATTCATTGGTCACTTTCATCTCTTATTGCTCTGTGGTGAACTTTATCTTCTAGTGTATGACCTGTGTCTCTTCTGACTCCATTCACCCAGAAGTACGAAGACCAGGGGGCTAAGGGGAAAGCCCAAGGTAGAGCCTGGAGACACTTGGGAGGGCTGGCAAGGGTGGGAAGAACCCAGGGGGATGACAAAGGCAATTTACAGGGTGTCTGTTTGGAGCCTGCTTCCTGCAGCAGCAGGAAGGAGGAAGGAAAGAAGGAAGGAAGGAAGGAAGGAGGGAGGGAGGGAGGGAGGGAAGGAGGGAGGGAGGGAGAGAGGGAGGGAAAGAGGGAGGAAAGGGAGGAGGGAGAGGGAGAGAAGAAGTGGGGAGCCCTTAGGGGAAGGCCTGTTCTTAAGCCTTGTGGCACCCAGCTGAACTGTGCTCTCCCCGCTCCCTGCACTGTCTGTGGCCCCTTTGTGCTCACTGCGAGCGCTCTCCTATTTGCTATCAATTGACATAAATGCTCTCCTATTGAGTGTCATTTGCAGATCACTAGTTTGCTGCTCTAGACTGCACTTAATGTCAATTACTTTTTTAAAAAACACCGATTGAAAATCACCGGTTTGCAGTTCCAAGTCTCTCAATGCCAATTACCCCTTGGGAGTTCTGGCGACACTGCCACTCCACGCTGGATTTCTGAGTAGTAGTAACTTGCCCTAATGGCCTGCATCTCTGGCTGCACATTTCTGGGGGGATGGGGAGGGAGAGCCGCCAGCATCTTGCATTAATCTCCATTGCTTGTCAGTTGCAAGGGGGCAGAATTTTCTCCGTGAAGCTTGCCTAGTAGAGGGCCCAGGGTCTGGCCCACTGTGAGGGTTAATTTTGATTATCAACTTGGTTGGATCTGCCATGAACTAGGAGGCACACCTCTGGGCCAGACTTTGAGGGCATTTCTGGGAAGGATTAACGGGATGCTGGGGAGAAGACTGTCCATCAGGGAAGTTGGCTCCACCCTCCAGCAGCTTTGCTATAAAGAGGGCCAAGGGAAAGCAGTAGTGAGCGCTTTAGAACCTGCCTTACCTTGTGTTGAGTGCACTCATCCTGTTGCCACTGCTGCCCTCAGAACCCAGCAATCTCCCAGGTCTTCCGTGTCATATTGTGACTGCTGAGGCAGGCAGCTTGTTGACTAAGCAGCTACCAGGTTCTCAGGCTCTTTGGTGGGCAGGCAGCTACTATTGGGCATTCACCCTCTACAGTACAAGCCAAGCTAGTAAATGATTTTTCTAGCATATGTTCATTCTCTACATTCTGTTTCTCTAAAGAACCCTGACCACCACACCGATCATGACTTTGATAGCAGAGGCGGAACCCAGGGCACCTGGGAAGGGAAGGAGATGGGGAAGCCACCAGTTCCCTCCTAGCATCGTCTGGAGGGGCACAACCTTGAGCTCTCAGCTCTAGCTCGTGTGGGGGCTGAGATAATGCATATTACTGCTTCTTAGTGGAAGAACTTGAGCTAAGGGCTGAGTTTCTCTCCTACCCTCAGCTTTGCTTTCCCACTTTTCCTTCGGGGATTGAGTGGATGCTCCGTGTGAAGTGTGCTCCGAGCTGCTTAGTACTCAGGAAGTGACGTGCACATGTCTAGCGAGTGAAGAAATGGCACGTGGCACAGGCATTAAAGTGCCGTTCCCTGTTGGCATGTGTTATTTCTCTGGGGCTGCAATGATATGAGGACCACAGAGGGATTTGGGACGCCTGTGAGTGGTGGGGATGCTCTGCCACTGTGACTAAGTTCAGGAGATCCATGGAGGTCCTTGCTCTGGCTGGTGAGTCAGGCCAGGTTCCTGGGGGAAAGGAGGTGGTAGGTAGTGGGGAGAGAGAATCTGGAGTTGGAAGAAGAGGAGAAAAAGAGAGGAGAATGAGAAACAAATCAAGGGAGACAGGGAGAGGTGAGGACATTGCCTTCATCCTGATTGGTTGCCACATTCTATATGAGGTATATCTGTCTTAGCGTTGGCAGGCAAAGGAACACAAATGAGCTTTAGGGACAAGAATCTAATTTTCATCCTCAGAAAGAGGTGACACATTGGGGACATTGACCCAGTTGGAAATGCCATGTGTTGATGCGTATGGAAATGTGTTTGCTATTATTAGCACACTATAGTCCAAGGAGCGCGCACTGCAGTCGGGTGTTGACAAATTACCCAGCTGTTTTGTGGGTGCAGGGGTTCTGGGGAGGTTTCCCCAGGCTGTTGGTGCATCCTCTGGTTGTTCACTGAGCCATTTTTCTAGTCAGGTGTAACAAGCAAGTTCAAGGTTAACCAGGAATGACCAGACCCTTGCACATGGAGGGCTGTTGGGTAATCCCTGCAGATTTTAAAAACATTATTTTTAAATATGTGTGTGTTCATATGTGTGTGTGTACATGTTTGTGTGTGTGTTCAGGTACTTGTAAAGTCCGGAAATAAGTGTTGGATCCCCAAGAAGTAGAGTTACAGAAGGTTGTTAGCCACTCAGTGTGGGCTCTGGGAACTAAACTTAGGGCCTCTGTAAGAGCCATATGCAATTTTAACTACCAAGTCGAATCACCTAACCCCCCAGTTACTATGCTATTGGTATGGTAAATGTTGATGTATCTTTGAGAACTATAAAGCCGCTCTTGGCTTTTGGTGAGGTTAGCTTAGACGTTAGGGTGACGGCCACTCACAGTGACACTAAACTTCCACTGACCCCGTTGGTTTTGGATTCTTGCCTGGTGCATTTGAAGGATAAAATCCACAGACCACAGAGAATGAGTCTGAGAGGGAAGTGTTTCATTATACGGTTATTAGAAGAAAGAAAGAAGAAAAGAGAAGCTATGCACTAGAAATGAACACCGTTGAGGCCACAGAGTTCATCAATCTTCCCTGAATGAAAAGAAGCAGGGAGGAGGAGGAAAGGCTGGGTCTGACTCCCACTCATCCGGTGACCAGAAGCCTCTGAATCTCAGTCACGTCCTCATGAATGGTTTCCTGGGAACCACACATGTCCTTATGTACAGGTTTCAGTTCAGAGAAGGAAAAAGGATACCCCTCCCCAACTCTTGGCACCACTGATTGCTGGCTAGGGCAGAGCCAAAGACATTTTGGCTTAAACACTTCTGGTATCTCTGGCCTCCAAGGACAAAATTGCAAACAGGACCAAGGGCTTTTCTGGGTTTTAGCCAAGGAAAAGTTGTTCACCTTCTGGGTTCTTTTACCCTGAATTCAACCTCCCACTCTCATTTTCCTAGGAGTGAGTTGGATCCCAGAGGATACTCAATTGCAGGTTCTTGTCTTCGAACAAAGAAGTAGACGATTAGGGCTGGAGAGATGATTCAGTAGTTGAGAGCACTGGCTGCTCGTCCAGAGGACCCAGGTTCAATTCCCAGCACCCACATGGTGGCTCCCAACTGTCTGAACTCCAGGTCCATGGGATGTGGCACCCTCTTCTGGCCTCTGTGGGCACTGTATGCACACAGTACATAAATACAAAAGCAAGCACAACACATAGAGAGAGGTAGAAATAGCTTATTAATGTAGGAGGCACTTCTGAGATGAGAGTGGACCAGAGAGACAAGCAAGGGTAGAGGCTCAGTGATGCTGGGCTGTGACATTCCTGATTCTTTACGAGTGGTTGCCTGGCACCCATCGTCTTTGCATTTGTGAATCATGGACTTCCTTGCTCTTGTTCTGTTCCTTACATGTAGCTTTTGGCTGGGGATTTCATCTTTTCTCCGTCTTGGTTTCTTTCATATGTTAAGTCTTTTAAAAAAGAATTTACGTTTGTTGTTACTTTAAATTATGGGTATGTCGATGAGTGTGTGGAGCCCAGAGACACTGGTACCAGATTTACAGATGGTTGTGACGCTCTGAGATCATTTACAATGATGGGGACTTGGAGAGAAGACACCGACCTAGCCATCCAGCTGCTGGCGGGGCGCTGGCGTGGCGCTGGCAGAGTGAGTTGTGGACCCAGGTATACTGGTTGAGATATTGGGCCCTGGGAGGCTGTGAAGGAGGCCCCAACTATAACGGAAGCAGCCAGAGCTCAGGGTGCCATGCGTGAACTAAAGTTTCAGGAGAGAATATGTATTGTTAAGATTGACTTACTGATAAGAATTTTAATGATGGTGGAGAAGTTGGGATGTTGCAGATTGGGAGCCAATTTGTCTTAAGCTAGCTTTAGCGCCCTTAGTAACTATCCCCTGCCATCTCTGTGTTTAACTTAGCCTTGTGATTATAATGTGAAACGTCTTGGCATGTATTGACTTAACAGACCACCAACTCCCAAGATGCGATCAGACAGCACCCAAGACCTACAACCAAGGTTCTCTTGCATCAGTTGCTGACTAACTGATGTGGCCATTTACATGTTTTTAAAATATTTTGATTTAGACTTTCTTTGTTTTATTACTATAGAAATGCCACAGAATTGTTATCTTGTTGGAACATAAGGTTTGGGGTCACCTAAATCTGTGTTCCTGACTCAAGGTCACTCATATTTGACTTTAGAAGAAACTATTTCTTATGCCCTTTGATGGTAGGACTGTGGAGTTTTTTTTAATATAAATTATTGAAGTGTGTGTGTGTGTATGTGTGTGTGCCTATGGAGACCCAAAGCTTATGGAGACCAAAAGAGGGTAATGAATCCTATGGAGCCAGAGTTGCAGGTGGTTGTGAGCAGCTTGTGGGGCTCGGAGCATCTGCAAGAGCAGCAAATGCTCTTTATTAACCACTAAGCCATCTCTCCAGCCCTGCTAACTGTGCCTTCTGTCGTTGTTGACAGATGGATGGACTAGATCAGGCAGTGAAGACGGGACTCTCAGGCTACCTAGAAGGATCAAGTTTTAGATCTAGAGACTGGGGTGAGTATATCCCGAAAATGTTCTCATTTTCTAAATTTCCATTTCAAATACATTTACCAAGATGCCATACTCATTTTAAAGATACAGCTCAATGCTTTTGAAACATGTGTGTGTGGTATGATCAGACCTACCAACAAGCTGAGGACCATTCCCAGTGTTCCGGCCGGTGCTGGAGTTTCTCCAGGCGATCAGGGCGTGGCCTGCACATGTCAGTCAGGAGCTTCCTTCTCTTGTTGTTGCCAGGTAACATTTCATTCCTCAAAATCACTTCAACTTACCAGTTTCACCTGTTGGTGACCATTTAGGTTGTTCCTAGATTTTCGATATTTTCTGTAAACTTGCTCTGAAGAGTCACGGAGAAGCATTCTTTTGCAGACAGAACTTTCACTTCTCCGGGTTACAATCACCAGAATGGCAGTTTCTAGGTTGTGCGTAAGTAAAGGGCACAATTTTCTTTTAGACACTCATCAGTTTCTATTTCCCTGTATCTCAACCATTCAGTCACTCAATAGCCTACCCACCATGAGCTACAGTCTGGAAGTAAGTAGTTCTTAGTAAAAAGAAGAAAAAGAAATGGAAACACTTTGTCTTGGAATGTCGTTAAAGAAGAAAACAGCAAACATCTGAGGGGGTTGAAGATATCCTCCCCTTCCGCCTGCAATGTTAGCCCACTGTGTTGGAGGACGGCAGCTTCGAGGTCAAGCTAAGATAGCAATCAGGGTTGAAGAGAGAGACTCCATCTCTATCAAGGTTAGTCAATAGAAAACAAAACAAGCTGGGTCATGGTGGCATGGGCCTTTAATTCCAGCACTCGGGAGGCAGAGACAGGCAGATTTCTATGAGTTCGAGGCCAGCCTGGTCTACAGAGCGGGTTCCAGGACAGGCTCCAAAGCTACACTGAGAAACCCTATCTCGAAAAAACAAAACCAAAAACAAACCAAAAAAAAAAACAACAAAAAATAAACAAAACAAAAATAATGGCTAAAGAAGATTGGATCCCCCCACTCCAAAACACATACACAGCAGGCTACATGAACTCAAATAGCACACATGAGAAGCTTCCTCAGTCTTCGTATGCGGAAGAAAGAAGGCACTACAATGGCCTGAAGGCTGATGACCCAAGGCTTCTGAACTTGCTGCCTTTCTCAGCTCCCCAGATGGCTTCCAAGCTTGGAATACCTTTCTCTTTCATAGTAAACTGCTTCTATTCCTGCCACTTACCACGGTCCATTTCTTTGTCCCAGGACACAAGAACTTGGGAATCTCAGCGGATGCCATCTAGGCGTGGCCCACACCTACTGCAGAGGAAATCATCCGAGAAGGGGAATAGCCAAAAGACAGAAGGTCCCAGTGAGCAGGACCAGGCCTGAGCATCCTGTCACCGGAGCACGACAGACAGCAGTATCCACCAGGAGAACGGAGGGCTGAGTACAGGCGTGGCCACATGCTCCACCTCTCTCCCTGCTTGTCTCTTGGCATGTGTGTTTGCTGTAAATCCATGGGAACAGAAACAGACTTAGTTGAATCACTACCACACAGTGAGCTCAGAGCAAAGTCTGCACAGAAGGGCTACTTCCTACATTTTTGTTAAATGACTGAATTCTTGGGTGAATGAGTGAATGGATTAATTCAGTAACTGCCTGTTCAGGGTCATCGTAGATTTGGCGATGGGCTTTGCTTCTACAATATGAAATAAGGCACTTTTTTTTTTTCTTCACAGTGAGCTGCCAGGCGTTTGGGTAGAATGGCAATTGGTCCATCCTCATAACAATAACAATAGAAAGAAACAAGATTGTAGGGAGGCACAGAGGGGGGAATCTGTGATGGTTGATGTTGGTTGTCAAGTTGAGTGGTTCTGGAATCAACTAAGAGAATCCTCTGGGCACGCTTGTGAGGAACTTCCTTGGAGAGGTCAAACGAAGTGGAAAAACTCACCCTAAATGTGAGCAACTCCTCTGGCGACAGGCGTTCGAGGGGAAAACCCCTTCTTCAGCCCGTTTGTTTTGTGCCTTGTTTATTTATGTTATCCGCAAGTTCTGCCGCTTGTTCCTGTGACTGTTGCCTTTGCTGCTGCTACTGCTGCCTCCAACCCCACCGACATCAGAACCTAGTTTCTTCTGCATTCCAACCTGAACCGAAAGGCTCAGTGCAGCTTGAGACTGAGTCACGCCATAGAGACTGAGCAGTTAACAATTGCCCCTTTCGAGTGGGAATACAGCCATTGTCAGAATACCCTGACCATATCATATAAGCCAATCTATTAAGTTCCCTCTTAAGACATATTCATCCTATCGGTTGTGAGCCTCCAGAGAACCCTGACTGCTGCAGGGCCTCTGAGCACTTGGTGAGGAAGAAGTGCCCTTTGAGGGTGGCAAGGGCTTAGCTGGAGAAGGCTGGGGAGCAATGTAAGAAGCAGCAACAGTCAGTACAGTTCTTGCTGAGTAAGTCACAGAGCTTGGGCATTGGACCGGGTGTTCGATACTGTCACAGCAATATCAACGGACAAGACATGGGGTCCTACATAGATGGGTCAAGATGAGCACTGAGGAGGGACAGTGTAAATGCACCTGGGTACCAGAAAAGGGATTCTGGGAAAGATGAAGCAAGGTGAACTCTGTTTTAGAAAAGCAAAACTTGGGTTTCTAGTTTGGATCTGTTTTTTTGTTTGTTTGTTTGTTTGTTTTGTTTTGTTCTTGTTTTAAGGCTCTCTACAGTAAAGGCTTGAACCAAGCTCAGCTCTACTAGGAAGTGATGGGACCTTTGAGGATCCCAGCAGGGATCCCAGCAGGGAATCCTGAGGTCACTGGAGGTGACCTTGCCTTGAAGGAGTTTGTGGGATCCTGGCCTCTTCCTCTTCTGCCCTTTGATGCCTGTGGTTTTGTTCTGCCAGGCTCTCCTGGCATTAGCGGTTGCAGCTTAGATACAATGCAACAGTGGACACCCAGGGAGGGACTGCTACTTCCAGAACTGTGGGTCAGTTAGCTGTTCCTTTCTGTTCGTTATCTCAGTCATGCTACAGTGAGAGAAAAAAAATAACACAGTTGATTTTCCATTAAACATGGAGGCCTAATACAGACAATGAGTTCTAATATTTTTCTGTTCTCACTGAAATTTTCTTTTTGTTCTTTTTCTTTCCCTTTCCCTTCTCTCTTTTCTTATTCCTTCCTCCTTCCTTCATTTTTCCTTCCTCTTCTTCTCCACCTTCTTTCCCTCCCCCTTCCCCCTCCTTCTTCTCCTCCTCCTCCTCCTCCTCCTCCTCCTTCTCCACCACCTCCTCCTTCTCCTTCTTTTCCTCCTCCTCCTTCACCTTCTTCTGATAGGTGTCTAAGCTACAATAAAAACTGTATTGCTAATATTAGTAACACAATGTTAACCAGTACTTTTGTACAAGCCTGGGAAGAGAGTAATTGGTAGAATAGCTTAGAACACGATGAGGTTATCTGCTTTAGCTAAAGAGTTTCACTTCAAGGCCAAATCTACAACCGAAACAAAGAACGTTCACCTGAGGACATGCATAACTTATTCACTCAGCAAAGGACATGCACAAGAAAGCTTTCATGCACACTATTCCCAATATCCTCCAATAGGAAAATACAAAGTAGCTACCAGAAGTGGATTGGATGAGGTGTGGTATAGCCATACAGTGGAAAACACATGTAATGAGAATGCACCATCTCCCGCAGTGTACAATATTATGGATTTATGCCACAAATCAAATGTGAATGAACGAAGTTAGGAACAGTAAGTGCTTAGTGTGGTTCCCTTCTGTATGAAGTGTCAAGTCAAAGTAAATCTCATCTGAGCTGTGCAGAGTTAGATTGGTGGGCCCCATTGTGCAGAGAGGGACAGGGACCAGGTGTGACCCCAGAAATGGCTTTGGGGTACTGGCCATATTCTAGTTTGTGACATGGGTCCTGATTACAGGATTGTGTTCTGTTTCTTAATATTTATTGAGATCTCCACTTAAGGAACTTGCAACTTCCTGTCTATATAGTGTACTTCCACGAGAAGTGTTTTTTAAAGGCAGCAGCCCACGAGGGGAACATAATGAAATTCAGCGAACCACAGAACAGATGGTGAATGACAACTGATATGGTTCAGCTGAGAAACACGAAATTTTCAGGGACAGAAATGCAACCTGGTCTACACAGGAGAGTCCCGAGAGGCCAAAGGACGTTTGTCATGAAGTGTTATCTATGGAGAGCTCTCCAACCAGGAAGCAGACAGACTGTCAGGTCCCCTGCCCAAGTCTCAGCGATAGTGGCTAGTTCCTCCTACTTGGTATGGAAATAGATGTAAAACTTGGCAACTGCCTGTGAACATGGCTTAATGGGTGTCACCACACCACACTTACCCTTCCCCTCACCCCTCCCTGCCTAAGAATGACTTCAGCTGACCTTAAAACACAGCAGGGCAGCTCTGAAACCTTAGCGGAGCATACTGTGAACAGAAAAGAAGCTTTGGAAGTAGCTCAGAAGACCTGCTGCTCTTAGTATAGTATGATTTATGACTCTGTGGATGAGCACAGGCTGTCATAATGGAATACCACAGGACATGTGTTTAAGCATGGGCATTTAATTTCCCTTGGCTCTGGTGGCTAGAAGGCCAATATCATTGAGCGTGTTCAGGGTTGATTTCCCCCAGGCTTCTCTCCTGGCCTTGAGGATGGCCACCTTCTTGCCCTATGCATGCCCACTCTTGGTGTCTCTTTCTTTCCTTAGAGGACACCGGGCACTTTAGACAAGACTCCCACAACCTGCAACTGCAATGCACTAAGTCGTATCAGGGCTGGTCAGATGGCAGGGATCTGAAGACAAAGAGATCCTTCAGTTGAATGAGACAAAGTGGAGTTCTCCCTACTAAGGTTTCTGAGAGACAGGGAGGCTCCACGTTATATAGCTATCAAGCATCTCATTCTATGGGAGATGTGGGACTTAGCCTATGTGCTAAGATCACAGAGGAGATGGAGAGGGGAGGAGGGCTAATCAATGTAAGGCTACCTCCACCTTGAACAGTATGAGGTTATGTTTGCTTTCTATCCCTGTCCCTGCGTGCAACAGCAGGGGTTGGTGATGCCTGGCTTGCAGCAGCCTCTGCTTAGGGTCTGGGTATTAGAATATCTATCTATAAATATTTTCACATGAGAGTTATGGTCTGGATAGTTAATCTTTGCTGTCAGCTAGACTGGATCTAGAGTGAACTAAGAGGCAAGCCACTTGACACACTTGTGTGTAATATGAGGGCTGGCATGTTGGGGTATCTGTCCCGCCTGGCACCCCACAACCGGCATACCCCAAAGAAAATCACACACAGGACTCCATAAGATTATAAACTGATTGGCCCTTAGCTCTGGCTAATTATTAGCTCATATAACACATATTACCCCATTATCCTTATCTATGTTAGCCACATGGCTCAGTACCTTTTCTAGCTGGGCAGCTCACATGTTGCTTCTTTGGTGATCTGGGCAGGACTGACGGAGGGAGCTTCCTGCTTCCCAGAATTCTCCTGTTCTCATTGCATCACCTCTACTTCCTGTCTGGTTTTCTCACCTACACTTCCTGCCTGGCCAATCAGCATTTATTGATATGATTGACAGATTACAGACAATTCTCCCGCACCACTTGTGAGGGGGTTTCTTGGTCAAGTCATTTGAAGTGGAGGACCTAACTACCCTATGTCTTTGAGTGGCAGTCTGACTCAAAAGAGGTGGAAGAAACTTTGCTTTTGCCTGTTTGCCTCCACTCTTGAAGGCATGTTCATCTACTCTGTTGCTGCTACTTTTGTGACTGCATTCCTTCATTTGTATCAGTGATGTGGGATTCCCCTCTGTATGCCATGAGTATGTCTAATTACCATTGGTTAGTAAAGAAGCTGCTTTGGCCTATGACAGGGCAGAATATAGGTAGGCAGAAAAACTAAACAAAATACAGGAAAAAAGAAGGCAGAGTCAGATACACACCATGTAGCTACTGAAGGAGATAGATGCCAGAACATTACCAGTAGGCTACAGCCTCATGGCAATACACTAATTAATAGAAATTGGTTAATTTAAGATATAAGAACTAGGTAGGAATATGCCTAAGCCATTGGTCAAGCAGTGTTGTAATTAATATAGTTTCTGTGTGATTATTCAGGTCTAGGCAGCCAGGAAACACAAGCACAGTCTCCATTTACATATCAAAGTCAGCTTCTTTGGAATTTCAATGTGAATTAAAGGCCAGTGGCTCTCTAGACATGCTCTAGAGCAGCAGTACTGGATTGGGACAACTGAGCTGTCCAGCTCCCCTGGCTGAACAGTTACTGCAGGCTAAGCTTCTTCAGTGCACAGAAGCCATGCTGGACTACCCGGATCATGTAATCCAATCTGATAAACACCCCTTTAAGATATATTCAGCGTTGGTTCTGTTCCTCTAGGACGTTCTGAGTCATAATGTATATTTGGGAAGACTGGACACAATTCAGTTCCTAACACTGTTATAGGAGTCTTGCATGAAAAGCAAGCAGCTAAATATGTGAGTGTATTTAAGAAGCAAGATTTTAATATAAGAAAAGAATAAAAGCAGAATACTTAAAATTCTGTAGCATTGAAATAAAATTGGGAATGCTGGTCTGGATTTATGATTTTTCTTTCTGTAATGAAAATGTTCTTGTTCTTGAAAAGTTGCAGAGGCACTGACAAGCCAGTAATGGTACGTGTACCTAGTGTTCTAGGACCCCAGTACTATTTCCACTAAAGGCCCCCAGTGCTTCCCTGCAAAACATCGGGGCCAGGGGGATTTATAAGGTGAACTCAGGACTTTCTATATTGGAAGGCAGGAATGGAATCGAAGACTAGTGGGTGAAATTGAGGGCCGAGTCCAACCACTGAACTAGATTGCTTCATGGGTGGGAAGAAAGGCGTATTGGAATTATCACATTGATGCGTGGCTGTCTCTCAGGTGGTAGAGAGGATAGTCAGAGGAAGCTGGGAGTCCAGAGCTTCTGTAGCTACCTTTTGGGAGGCAGAGGAGACAACAAGAAGGCCTTGCCATAAAGTTATAAAAGGAACAGGTTGGGATGGGAGGGAACACAGTAAACTGGAACAGCCTGGACTGGAAGCTTTGGGGTAGGGGTGGGGGAGGTGGTTTGAGGGTCAGAAGAGGCTGAGGACTTAGATGTGTGGCATAGGTACCTGTTCATAGGGAACTCAGGAGCCTGGACATTAGCATGGGACTTTGATATGTGTTACAGGCCTGTGCTGATAGGGAGCTAGATGCGCCATTTACCTGTAGGGGGAGATAAGAAACGATGGCTCTGCCTGCTTCCTGAGGCCTCTGAGAAGTGCTGGGTGTCACCAGCAACCTTTCTGTTGACCCTATCAAGAGTCCAGTCTGAGCTGAGCCCAGGCTGCCATTTGGGGACATTGTCAGTGGCAATGGCATTTTGGGGGTTTGGGGTCTGGAACCTAACAGTGAAGATATGTCAAAAGGAGGTGAAAGCCAGTTTGAAGAACTATTGACTACATCTGGGAACAACAAAAATAACTGTAAAGCACTAAAGCACATCGAATAGATAAAAGGTATGGGGGGGACTAAGGAAATAATTTAAATGGTAGCGAGTCTAATGTGCAACCATGACACCCTGAGTTCAGATACCTAGGACCCTCATCCCCCAAACCCCTAAACAAACTAATTAACAACAAACAAACTAACAAAAAAGTAGGCATGGGGAGTGTGCTGTAATTTCAGTTCAAAGACAGGACCCTGAGGACTTGCTGGCTAGCCAGTGTAGTTGAACTGGTGAGCTGCTGGTTCCAGGAGAGACTTCATCTCAAGAAATAAATTAGAGTGTGACAGGCGACAATGCTTGACATTCACCTTGGTCTTTACACACCCATGTGTGAACACTTGCGTCTGAACACATACACTCACATGCTCACTTGTGTGCGCACACACACACACACACACACACACACACACACACACACACACTCACGAGAGAGAGAGAGAGAGAGAGAGAGAGAGAGAGAGAGAGAGAGAAACAGACAGACAGAGTCAGTCTAGTGGGATATGTTATCCTTTCTTCTTTGGAAGTTGATCTCATTTCAGGATGTAGTGAGCGCCCTCCCTCAGGCTATGACAGAGAGGCTGAAGGAAGGCCAGGCAGCAGCGTG